CCTAAGGTGGACTGATTCTGGTGGCCTTTGTGGGCCTTGACAACTTCACACAGGAGGAAGTCGGCGGCTCTCTGTACGGCCTCCATCTTCCAAACTGGAGGCTGAGGCTGCGCAATGCAGGAGTCCCAGCTGCCCAGTGTCTAGAGTAGAACATCCAAGCCCATGAGCGGCTCCCATCTGCAAGGCTGGAGGCCCAATCAAACCTCCCTTCAGTGATTCTGCCCTCTGATTAACCAGGAAATGTGTTATTTGTTCTGAGCAGGGGAACAAGCTCTCCTGGGGAGAAGAATTCAGGGCTGAAGGTCCAGTTACTTCCAAGGAAGAAAAATCCCTGGAATTCTGTCAGGAGTTGGGTCTCAGCAAAGGGAGCAGAAATGCAGCCCTTGTTTTTGGTCCTTATTTACCAAACCAGTTCAGGTTCTTGTGGACATCTGGCTGCCAATATCATTCCATCAAGACATGGGAAAGCAATGCATTTGCCCCGGGGGTCCCGTAGACTGCCATCCCTCGCATGGCGCATGTGTCTGGGCAAACCTTTCCCTGCCGGAATCTCTTTGGACTCTCTCTGTAGGGTTTTCCAGAGATGATTTTCCTCCCCAGACCCAAGAGACGGGTGAGTAGGCTTAGCAGTGTTCTCAGGAGGGAGAGAGCTTTGATTGTAGGGTAGGGAAGTGACACACAGTGAATCAGGGGCCGTGCTGGAAACAGCTTCCCTTCTTTCACTGGGCCAAGAGGACTGACGGGGGCAGAAAGTTCTGGTAACCCCACACTTCCAGGGAATTAAACAGTGGGCTAGCAGGCAGGGCTAGCATTTGGGATGATGCCCTAGAGAGCTACTTTGGTGGTGATGGTGGTGGGGTGCTTAGGAAGGTCACGATTGAATTGTGAAGAGGGCTCCAGGTTTACAAGCCCGGGGTGGAGGCAAGGTGGTAAAAGCTTGGGCCCAGGTAGAAAACGATCCAGGTTTCAATCCTGCCTCTATTTATCAGCTGTGTCATCTTGGACAAGCCAGTAGCCATTCCCAGCCCGTTTCCTCCTTTGTATGCGTGGAAATCAATGCCTCTTCTGGTTGGTTAAATCAGCCAATTGATGTTATGTGCTTAGCCTGTTGTTTGGATTAGGTAGGCTTTACCAATTTTGGCAGGTTAAAAAAAAAAAAGCAAAACTCAAGTTTTTGTGGGATTGGAGATTCTGAAGAGCTGCGACAGGCCCCAACAGGTAGAGGATGAGGGAGACAGGGGCAGTAAGTAGGTGGCAGGGCAGAGCGTGGCGCTGGGGTGGGGTAGAAGATGCCAGTCTTTGGAGTAGATTAGCTGGGTTGGGGGCCCCCGGGTGAACAGGGTGCGAATGTCCAAGGGCCACTTGTACTCACGGAGGAGTGGGAGGGGTGCCTGGTGGTGAGGGAAAGAGTGTCTGCGTGAGGATTTTGGCGGAGGCGAAGGGTGAGGGATGAATGGGCGGCAGACTTCCAGAAATGCAGGCGGAGGAGAAGGAGCGGTAATAATGCTTGGACACACAGGAGGAAAAAATAGCTCAGGGACGAAGATGATGCCAAGGTTTCTGGCTTTGGGAGGCTCATGGGGATTTGAGGTGGGTCTTGAGGGATGTAGAGGGGAGCTCCTGAAAGAACCGGGTGGGTTCCGGGGAGAGGACGGAGCCCGGAACTCCAGATATCCGGTGGATATATGGGCAAGAGGAGGTAAGCGTGGACCTGGGGCTTCCACAGCTGTGAAGGAACTGTGTCCCAGGAACAGAACATAGCATTCTGGGAGCTGGGGGGCGTTCAAGGCCAAATGCAAGAGGTAGGGTTCAAGGAGATCTTTAGAGCCCGCCTCAGAGACAGCAAGCACATGAACCTGGATCAGGAGCTACCACCCAGAACTCAGTTCTTCTCTCTCTCTCTCACTCTTTTTTTTTTTTTTTTTGAGACAAGTTTCGCTCTTGTTGCCCAGGCTGTAGTACAATAGCATGATCTCAGCTCACTGCAATCTCCGCCTCCTGGGTTCAAGCGATTCTCCTGCCTCAGCCTCCCAAGTAGTTGGGATTACAGGCATGTGCCACCACACGTGGCTAATTTTGTATTTTTAGTAGAGACAGGGTTTCTCCATATTGGTCAGGCTGGTCTCGAACTCCCAGTCTCAGGTGATCTGCCCACCTCAGTCTCCCAAAGTGCTGGGATAACAGGTGTGAGCCATCTAGCCTGGCCCAGTTTCTCTCTCTTAAAATGGGTCTAATGATACCAGCCCTCCCCACTTGATAGGATTCTTGTGTCCGTTATTCAGTTAGCCAACCACTTCACACATATTTCTTGGCTGTTCTAGGTTCTGCAGAAACAGTAGTGAGCAATGCAGACAAGATATCGATTGCTTTAGAGCTATCCTTGTGGTTTGGAGAGTCAGACAATAGATGATTTTTTTAGGTTGTTGAACAGGACTTTTCCTCTGTTCTTAGAATATCTGCTGAAGCCACAAAGATAGAACAATGAGGGCTAAATATTCTTGCATTCTGAAGAGAAGTACTAGACACCTTATTAAAGGCAGAACAGGTTCAACAGCAATCAAATCACATCCCTCTATTCCAGTCTACAAATGAAAGCGATTGAAGAAAGTCACTGAAGCATAACATTGTTGCATTTGTGGGCAGGGCTGAGGGCAAACGTGTGAAGGGAGCTCCAAGAGAGAACCAGTCATCTAGAGGCTGTGTCCCTATACCTGTTCCCCCACTGATGCTGGCTATGTTACTGGGCGTTGCAGCCACCTCGGTACAGTAAAGTACAGCAAGATAGTTCATGGGAGAACCCAGCGTATGTCTTTAAAAATTGAGGACGTATATAAATGAAGAGACCTGTGTGTACTTCTTGTCTGGAGAATTCTGATCGTGGATCCTGGCTGGAGTGGCCTGTGTGGGCAAAGTGAGAAAGGGGCAGGGTAAGGGGCAGCCAACTCACCATTGTTTTGCCTGGCATAGGGGGGACAGTCCTATGAGAGACAGAGGACGCAGGGGTCTGTGAGAGGTTGGCCAGAGAGTGCTTTGCTATGGCAACTCAGAGTGGAGGTCCTGTAGAGAACCTCCCAAGAACCCACATACGTGCCCATGAAAAAGCCAGCGCTTGGCACCTGCCAACCAAGGGTACCTGTCACATAAGACTTTGCTACTTTTCCTCTAACACTTCTCCCCCAACCTCGACAGAGAGGAGCCACAGCAGAAAAGGCAGGTCAGAAAATAGACCACATCCCACTCTCACCACTGCAGGATCTCTAACTAAGGGACAGGCCAGTGAGGGGAGAGGAGGACTATTAAATGGGACATTATATAGATAAACTTGGATGAGGTTTTGATCTGGACAGGAGCAAACTTTTTGTGCCTGAAAATTGTTCTTCATTATAGAAATAGAACAGTTCTCATGTCTGGTAGGGATGACCTCTTGAACCCAGGACTCTGTCTGAGATGTCATTAAGGGTGGGGAAGGGAGATTTATCATAGCATGGTTGAAGGTAGTCATGGAGTACTTTTTGGATAATCCTTCCTCAGGTTCAGCCCATTAAAAAACTCAGTTACACGAACAAATAATTCAATAACAAGATGTGTACTGTTTTATGAAGATGAGACAGGATGGTGTGTTAGAGTGATGACTGGGGTCAGGGAGGGCCACTACAGGAGCTGATATTTAATTTGAGAGGGGTAGTGATGAGAAACTATCCTCTAAACATCTTGGAGAGGAACCTTCCAGGTAGACGGAAGGGGGCATTCACTTGGCTTGTTCAAGGAGCAGAGAGAGGGCCAAGGCAGTGCAGTGTGCTGGGTAAGGGAGAGCAAGAGGCCAGATGAGATCAGAGTGGGGTAGCCGGCCAGGGCTTTCCAGGCCAAGGTCAGGGGTTGGGGCTTTATTCCAACAGTAGCTATTACCTGGGGCTGTCCTTTGTGTGGCGTAGGAGGTTGTGAACTGGTGCCCACCTGCCAGCTCCTTCGCTCTGCCTCTCTGGGAAATAGGCTGTACACATGTGCCAAGGGCAGCCCTATTGACCCAGGCCTTTAGGCTGTAGGGAGGCGGAATGGGTGAGAATGGTGTGCTGATTATTGGAGACACCCAGTCGGTGGCGATCAGCATTCCCACACCCCTGCCTGCCTCCCTGCCAACATTAGAAGATGCGATTGCACACACTGGGTTAATCAGGGATCACTGAATCCCCATCTGGGCAATTCCCGAGAGAGTGAGGGTCTGGAGTGGGAGTCCGGGAATGGATTCAGCCAGAGGCAGGAGGCCTGGATTCCATTCCCCTCTTTCACATGGGAGGTCTCCTTGAGTGACTTACTCAAGAGGCTCCGTGTCTTTGCCTCTGTGAAAAAGAGGATTCCTTGGTCGGGTGCAGTGTCTCACGTCTATAATCTTAGCACTTTGGGAGGCCAAGGCGGTTGGATGACCTGAGGTCTGGAGTTCAAGACCGGCCTGACCAACACGGAGAAACCCTGATTCTACCAAAAAAAAAAAAAAAAAAAAAAAAAAAAAAAAAATTAGCTGGGAGTGGTGGCAGTCGCCTGTTATCCCAGCTACTCAGGAGGCTGAGGCAGGAGAATCGCTGGAACCCAGGAGGCGGAGGTTGTGGTGAACCCATGCCACTGTACTCCAGCCCGGGCGACAGAGCAAGACTCCGTCAAAAAAAGAAAAGAAAGAAAGAAAGATGGAAGGAAGGAAGGAAAAAGAGAAAGAAAAGAAAAAAAAGAAACAGAAAAAGAAAGAGACGACCCCTCTTCTAGCAGCCACCATCACCGCGCCAGGCCTAGGCGTGACCCTGACGCCACGGGAAGGGGACTGAGATCCAGGGCGAAGGCTGCGGCGCCGCCAGGGCTCTGCAGCCACCGGAGCGCCAAGACCGCCATTTCCGCCAGGGGGCGCTCCCGGGACCTCCCTGCGCCCGCGCCCCTCGCCGCCCCCGCTCCCGCCCGCCCTGCGGAGGGCGCCCCCGGCGGCCAGGGCGCAAGCGGAGGGGCCGGCGGCCCTGTCCCCCTACACGGCCTCGGCGCTCTTCCCGGCCTCCTTCAGACCTGCGAGGCTGCAGCCTGGGTCACCCGATCGGGAGCCGGTCCCTGAGGCGAGGGGCTGGAGGACGATTCGGGGCAGGAGAACGATTCGGGGCAGGTCTACAGTTCGAACTTGCCCGGGGCAGAAGAAAGGCGGCCCGGTGTCCAGGTCGTGGCAGGCGCCATCTGCCCGACCAGCGCCCGGGTCAGCCCCGCGCCGCCCCCTGCTCCGCACGGGTTAATCCCCCTCGCCGCCCGCCAGCTTCCCGGTGCCAAAGTGGGTGTTGCTGGAATGCCTCGCTCCCTCTCCCGTAATGAGGGGGCTGAGCTGTCCCTCCGAGGAGGGGGCCTGGTGTGGATAAAAGAGACGAAAAAGCAGGGGGAGGTTTCCAAAAATAAAACCGTCCGAGTCCCCTTCAGACGGCTGCAGGCATTGGGAGGAGGCGCGAAGTGCCGCGGCGGTGCGAGCCCTACAGGAGTCGGAGAGCGGACACGAGGTTCGGGGCGCGCAACCCTTGCTCCGCGGAGAGCCGGACTCCCAGTCAGCCGCTTCGGGGCCCCCTAGACGCGGAGAAGCCGGGACAGCAGCCCCGGGCGTCCCGCGCGCCGACCACAAAGCTCTTCACGGTGCCCGCGCGCACCGCTCTCCAGCCGCCCCCGCGCCATGCCGCGGACCGAAGCCCGCAGCCCGGGGCGCACCCTGCGGAACCCCTGGAGGGGCTTCCTGCCGCTCACCCTGGCTCTCTTCGTGGGCGCGGGTCTTGCCCAAAGGGACCCCTTGGGGAGATACGAGCCAGCTGGCGGAGACGCGAATCGACTGCGGCGCCCGGGGGGCAGCTACCCGGCAGCGGCTGCAGCCAAGGTGTACAGTCTGTTCCGGGAGCAGGACACGCCTGTCGCGGGCTTGCAGCCCGTGGAGCGGGCCCAGCCGGGCTGGGGGAGCCCCAGGAGGCCCACCGAGGCGGAGGCCAGGAGGCCGTCCCGCGCGCAGCAGTCGCGGCGAATCCAGCCACCTGCGCAGACCCGGAGAAGCACTCCCCTGGGCCAGCAGCAGCCGGCACCCCGGGCCCGGGCCGCGCCGGCTCTCCCGCGCCTGGGGACCCCACAGCGATCCGGGGCTGCGCCCCCAACCCCGCCGCGAGGGCGGCTCACGGGGTGAGCACGGGAAAGGGAAGTTTGGAGGGTGCAGAGGAGAGCCAGGGCTCATTTGTGGAGGGGCGTGCAGGCGAGAGGAGAGGGCGCCGCACTCAAGCCCTCCTTCCTCTGTCTTTAGTACTTCTGGGAAACAGCCCCGAGGTTCCAAAGCCGGGACTGGAAGATTTGATCCGGTTTTGAAGAGTTGAAGGCAAAGATAGATCATCGTCCTCAGTTTTTCCTACCAACTCGGCCGTAGCCCCGACGTTAAATCCTTTCGCAAGGCGCCTCTCCACTACTCCGCGCTCCTCCTGCCTGCAACTAACCAGTTCTTGTAGACGCGGGCAGCGCTACCGGGACCCAAGAGGCAGCGGGAACAGGACAGTGGGGTGGGCGCTCCAGGCTCTTGAGGCGCAGGGGAGGTTGAGCCGGCTCAGGGCAGGGGTGGGCGGAGGCGTAGGGGGCCCCATGGCGAGAAGGTAGACGCGTCTCCTGGGAAGGGTGCTGGCAGTGAAGCTGGTGCTCCGGGACAAATGTGTACATTGGGGCGTGGGTCCGCCCGCGCACGCCGGGGCTGGATGTGGACGTGGGCGTGAGCTCTGGGCACTTTGGACAGTAAGCTTGTCCCCATGTGGCTGCGGGACAGTGGGCGCGTGGAGAATTGGATGGGTGTGCCCTAGGTGTAAGCGCGGCTTGCGCGCGTTGCAGGGCTAAGCCTCCCCACAACCCGCAATTTCCTTTTTTGCTCTCCTTGGGCACCACTTCCTGCCCGCCGCGGGAGCCGTCGCAGAGTGATAAGACACCCCACCAGCCCCACCCCCAATCGGATCTTCATGGCTAGGGGTGTGCTCCACCTTGCCTGCGTACAATCCAGTTGTCTCTGGATTGAAGGGCATTGAGCCCTGGGCAGTGAGGGGCTGGGTGGGGACACCATCAGGAAGTCTGGGAAGGGCTTTGGCAGCTTCTCTTTGCCTGGGCACGATTTGCCAGTTGGGTTTAGTCCTGGGGAACAGCATGAAAGACACTTGTACCCCGAGTCCTACTCCAAGGACCTTCCCCTTCACAGCCTTGGCGCTCTTGTTTTTCCTTGGCTGGAGGGCTCTTCTCATATTTCAGCAGGATTCGCGCTCTGTTTCTTTCAGATTTCTGCTCAGAGTGCCTTCTTTGGCCACTCCTGCCCCTTCCTCTTTCTCGCTTCACCCTGCTTTATGTTTCTTCATAGCACTTACTCTGTCTGACATGTTCCATTTCTATTGATGTGTTTCTGGCCTGGCCTCCAAGCCACGCTAATGCAAGCTCTATGCAAACAGGGACTTCTTTGTGTCCATTTCTGTGCCACTTGTGCCTAGAATAGTGCCTGCACTAGTTGGTATTCTCTCAGTATCTGTTGAATGAGTGAATGAACTCCCTGCTGCCGGTGTAAGGCCCAGCTTCAAGCAGACGGAGAGTAGACCCATACATTGCCAAGTCGCTTACACATAGGATTATTCAGCAAGCATTAGTGGAAAGCACCTGCAGTGTTGCAGCTTTTTCCTTTCCTGATCTGTGCAAGTGAATGCATGCTTCCAAGGATTCTGCGTGCAGAGCATGGGAAAGGGGATGGAGGTTCAGAGTCCAAGGCATTGTTCCTGCTGGGAAAGCAACCCACTTACTTAGAATCACGTTGAAGAAATGAACAGATACTTTCTAGTACTAGAAGCTTCCTGTTAAGTGCAAAGGAGTAGGGCAGTTGTGGCTAAAGAGCTGAGTAGAGGGACCTGTGACCTGGGGTCCCTGGGGCTCTATGGGCAGCATGTGGGGAAGCAGAGGGGAGGTGGTAGGAGGTGGCCTGGAGATGAGGGTGGCGTGCAGATGTAGCGCTGCCCAAGGACAAGGGCTTATTACTGTTGGCACTGGCCCAGGGGTAGGTAGCACTGCAGCTCTGGTGTAGCGGAACCCAGAGACAGCTTGGGCTGGAGCAGGGAGGAGCTTGTACTGCAGACATTCAGGTGCAAGTGAGGTGCGGGGGAGGTGGGGAAGTGGAGCTTCAGGGCTGGAGGGTGCACTGTTAGAAGTCATGAAATGATGTGGTGATGAGCAAAGTAAATTGTCACCACAACAGGGCTGGTGGATGTGAACAGGCATGTGAGGACATGGGCCGAATGCCACCTGCTGTACACAGGTGCACCCATCACATGACACACTGGTCAGGCTCCTCCTCCAGATTGTCTTCTGCAGCCTCGATATAAAGTGGGTTCCCTGACACTCCAGTCAGCCGCTCCGTGTCAGCTGGGGACGACCTGAGTGGTTATCTTGTTTATTCACTTCCTCCACCCTGGTTCCTTCTGGCTAATGGCTTCAAGTCAGGGTGATCAAGCTGGAAATTCATTTAGTTGTGAGCTGCAGACAACCAGGGACTAAGTGCCACCTGCTGGTGAATCTTGGAACTGCAGCACTATTACTGGCACTGCTTCATTCATTCAATCAATACTTTGGAAGGACTTCTATACCCAGGTCCTATACTGGATCCAGAGGATACCGCAGTGACCAAGACAGGCAGATTCTGTCCTCACGGAACTTTCAATGTAGTGAGGATTTATTGCACATAATGAAGACTTATTAAGTTTGTGCCAGGCTTGATGCTAGGTATCTGGCATACAGCAGTGACCAGAGTGGACACAGTTTCTACATTAATGAAATTTACCATATAGCGTTTCCTTTTTTTCTTTCTTTCTTTCTTTTTTTTTTTTTTTGATAGATGGAGTCTCTTGCTTTGTCGCCTAGGCTGGAGTGCAATGGCACCATCTCGGTTCACTGCAACCTCCACCCCCCAGGCTCAAGTGATTCTTGTGCCTCAGCCTCTGGAATAATTGGGATTACAGGCACATGCCACCACACCTAGCTAATTTTTTGTGTTTTTAGTAGAGATGGGGTTTCGCCATGTTGGCCAGGCTGGTCTCAAACTCCTGACCTTAAGCACTACACCCACCTTGGCCTCCCAAAGTGCTAGGATTACAGGTATGAGGCACCGTGCCCAGCCTCTATAGGGGTTCTTGAACCAGCCTCTGGTATATACTATACTATACTGTATAGTATTTTTCTCTACCTTTCACTCTTGTTCTGTTATTATTTTTCTTTAACTTTATATTCTGTTAAAATAACAGGATTTTTTGTTTTATTTGTTTTAAAGTATATTATGAAGTTTTACAAATGCACTAAAAGGTATTGAACATAATATAACTTACAATCCAGCTTTCTCAAATCTGAATATTTTGGCATCTTTTGCTTCCAGTTTTTTAGTTGACATTTCCTCTATAAATTTGCCTCCCTCCCTCCCCAGAATTAACCACTACCCTGAATTTAATTAATAGATATATTTTTTACAGTATTACTATAGTTACATGTATCCACAAAATATACAATGTTGTTTTGCATATTTTAAACTTAGATAAGTGATGCCACATTTCATTATTCTTCTGCAATTTATTTTTCCCCTCTTTATTAGATTTCTGAGATTTAACCATGTTAATATAATTAGCCCAAGTTTTAACTGTTGTGTATTATTCCTTTGTCTGAATATTACCACAGTTATCCATCCTCCTGTTTTTGGACATCTAGATGAATTACATTTTTTTGCTATTACAGGCAGTGCTTGACTCATTTTTCTCTATAAATAAATTCATAACTGAAAGGAAATTTTGTATCATTTTCATAAGTTGAAAGCAGTACCACTTGTTATAAGGAGAAGGTAATTGTAGGAAAATTGAAAGGAAAACAAAATGTTCTTACATTCTAGTCAGACATCATTCATCATCTTAGGAAGCTCAACCCTGTGACAAGTTCTCTCTATTGGAAAGGAGGACTCGCATGTATTGAGGGGGGGACCTGGTGTTTTTCACTGACCTAATTAGGTTAAAAGGATCACTAAAAAGAGAATCACTTTCTCATCATGTAACTCAGATTGTCGAATGTTGTGACCTGTGAACCTAAAATGCCTTTCCAATCCTCAGTGTGGCTCATCCCACTTTTTGTGAAACTCCAGAGTAAATGAAGCAAAGAAGTATTAATTGTATACTACATGTTGGGCACTGTGTTAGACTCTAGAGGCACGCAGAGAAATAAGAAAGAAACCTCAAGATACCCACGACCAAGATATAACCAGTGACCTCAGACAGATCGTACTAAATGATCCTAGTAGATAGAGAATGAAGGAAGGCTGGGGAGATGTCAGAGGAGGGTTTTTTTTTTTTTTTTTTTTTTTTTTTTGACAGAATCTCACTCAGGCTGGAGTGCAGTGGTGCAATCTCAGCCATTGCAACCTCTACCTCCCAAGTTCAAGTGATTCTCCTGCCTCAGCCTCCCGAGTAACTAAGACTACAGGTGCGTGCCACCATGCTTGGCTAATTTTTTTGTATTTTTAGTAGAGATGGAGTTTCACCATGTAGGGCAGGATGATCTTGATCTCCTGACATCGTGATCCGCCTGCCTTGGCCTCCCAAAGTGCTGGGATTACAGGCATGAGCCACTGTGCCTGGCCCAGGGGAGGTTTTATACAAAGAAAGTAACATCTGATCTGGAAGTCTTGGAGTAGGAAAAGGATTTCAATTAGTGGACCAGAGGGTGAGGGCATTGTAGGCAGAGAGAGCAGCCCAGGCAAAGGCATCAAAGTGAAATCCACAGAGCAACTGGAGAGCCACAGACCTTGTATCCTTGGAGGAGCAAAGCCTTGGCTGTGGATGGTCGTGGAGACTAAGTGGGAATGATGGGGCAATTAGACTGCACAGGCAAGTAGGCACATGGGCACCAGGGGGCTTTGTCGAGACCAGTGGAGTGCTGCGGGAGGTTTTTAACAGAGGACTAGTGTGATCAGGTTTGGCCCAGGTGGAACGGCAGCTCTCCCAGGCTGCTAGCCAGGTGTGTTCCCTACAGTGATCTGGATACTGGGTGAATGTGTGCTGAGTGGTGTCGAAGATGTGACTCTGAGGATCTCTGAGAGGCACCTTCTAGGGAGTCAGAGCAATTGAATCGTATATCCTGGCTATTCAGGCTCATTTGCTCTCTCTGTTAGCCAGAGCCCACTGAACGGACAATTCCCAGCTGGTCACCTCCCTGGCCCTGTACCCAAGACTTTAATACTGGCCTGTAGGGATCCTCAGAGTCTCTCCTTGGGGACCTGACTTTCTCTTGAGTGCCCTACCAGCCCCAGTCTGGCCCCTCTGCCTGGCAGCCTTTGATTCTGGCCAATCCTCACTGTGGCCGCTACATCCCTTAGGGATCTACTCTGTGCAGGCAAAGTAGGGCTGGCCCCTTCCCTCCCACAGTCCCCTGCACAGCCATCCTGAGGGCAGCTGGGGTGATGGCTGGCTCAGGGGGCCTCCTTGGGCTGAGCTCCATGCCATGACCTCCCAGCCAGGCAGGCTCCTGTGTCCATGCTGTTTGGGTTCCCACAGGCCCTATTTCTTAGAAAATTCCCAGGGCATGGGATCTGTTTCCTCTCAAAGACCTCCTAGCCCCACGAGAGGACTTGTCACCACCACAAGGGGTGGTGACGCACAAATGGGTGAGTAGTTTCCCCTTCCACTGGGGCGCACCCCCAGAAACTCTGGGTCTGACAAGCAGCACTTTCCCCACCCCCAGTGACATGGGCCCTGAGGTATCCAGGCAGCTGCTGAAGGTGATCGCCCAGAGAGGCTTTGAGGTGGACTGAGTGGCACAACTCTTGGCTGGCAGGACATTCTGGGAGCTCCGTGGGAGGGAGGCAGCGCCCCACAACTTTGGGCCAAAGGGCCAGGAATGGGCCTCAGTGTTTTCAAGCTGCAGGAATTTATTTTGAATTCTTCATAAGACTCCAAACCACATAAGCTTTGGGGTCCACTCAAATGTCAAACAAACTCCTAAGTGGGACCAGATGTCGCCATGCTGGCCGCAGAGATCACAGGAACGGCCGCCCTGCTCTGTCCTTCGCCTGTTTAGCCTCTTCACATCTCCCTCCCGTCTCACCCTCCAGTTCCAGTGCCCAGTGACGATTTCTGATGAGAGGGATGTAAGCCAGAGCCTGGCCCAGCTTGGGCCTCTAGTCGCTCCCTAGAGGTGTCCAGAAGAAGCCCTTCTAGGGTGTCACCTTGGTCTAGGTGTGTGGGTCTTTAGCTGCAGAGTCAGGGCTGGGTGGAAACTGCTGGTGTTGCCAGAGCACAGCAGACACCTGGAGGCAAACTTTGGGGAGCTGGATGAGTGCCCGAAACTGCAGGTCAGTGTCTCATGGGAGTGCTCTCAGAGCCAGCATCAAAGAGTAGCTGAAGGGCCGGGCACGGTGGCTCACACCTGTAATCCCAGCACTTTGGGAGGCTGAGGTAGATGGATCACCTGAGGACAGAAGTTCAAGACCAGCCTGACCAACATGGTGAAACCTGTCTCTACTAAATTTTTTTTTTTTTTTTTTTTGGAGAGGGAGTTTCACTTTTGTTACCTAGGCTGGAGTGCAATGGCGCGATCTCGACTCACTGCAACCTCCGCCTCCTGGGTTCAGGCAATTCTCCTGCCTCAGCCTCCCGAGTAGCTGGGATTACAGGCATGCGACACCATGCCCAGCTAATTTTTTGTATTTTTAGTAGAGGCGGGGTTTCACCATGTTGACCAGGATGGTCTCGATCTCTTGACCTCGTGATCCACCTGCCTCGGCCTCCCAAAGTGCTGGGATTACAGGCTTGAGCCACCGCACCCGCCTGGTCTACTAAAATATTTTAAAAACTAGCCAGGTGTGGTGCAGGCGCCTGTGTGTGTGTGTGTGTGTGTGTGTGTGTGTGTGTGTGTGTATGAGAGGTAGAGTTGGAGCATGACTTAGAGTTGGGCCAACCCAGGTTTGAATCAGGCTCCAGCACTTACCCGCTGTGTGGAATTCAGAAGTCACTAACCCTCTCTGAACTGGCTTATTAGCTTTAGGATCGCCGTCGTTGCCCCAGCAGACTGCCTGCTTTATGTCAGATGTTAAAATTCCCGCCTCACTTAACCATGGTAGCAACCCAATGAAGCAGCTATTGCTATCTCCGTTGTACAGATGGAGAGAGCGAGGTTTCCCAAGGACGTGCGGAGAATGACAGAGTCAGGATTCAGTCTTAGATTTGCATGTAGAATGGGGACAGCCTTCCCAGCCTCTCCCTGTTCCCCAAGCCCCGCCTGTAGAAGGTGGGACTGTCGGAGGGGCTGTAGGAATATTCCCCAGCTCTGAGCATCCTTGGGTTGATTCTGTTTTGGTGACCCCACAGGAGGAACGTCTGCGGGGGACAGTGCTGCCCAGGATGGACAACAGCAAACAGCACCAACCACTGTATAAAACGTGAGTGCCTCCCCGGGTGGCAGGCACACCGCTGTCTCAAACATGGTGTGCCATTCCCCACCCTACTCCCGAGGCAGGCCAAGCTTAGGGACTCCAGAACCTGAAGCAGAAGTGTCTTTCCTAGTCTGTGTCCTGAAGATGCAGCCCCTCTTTGGAGTGGAGGCAATATCCAGTGGCAGGGTGGGGGTTTAAAAATGCCTCCAGCTGGGGCGGGAGTGGTGGCTCATGCCTGTAATCCCAGCACTTTGGGAGGCCAAGGTGGGTGAATCACTTGAGGTTGGGAGTTGGAGACCAGCTTGGCCAAGATGGTGAAACCCTGTCTCTACTAAAAGTAGAAAAATTAGCTGGGCGTGGTGGTGGGTGCCTGTAATCTCAGCTACTCGGGAGGCTGAGGCAGGAGAATTGCTTGAATCTGGGAGGCAGAGGTTGTAGTGAGCTGAGATTGTGCCACTGCACTCCAGTGAGACTCCTCAAAAAAAAAAAAGAGGTCTGGGCACAGTGGCTCAAACCTGTAATCCCAGCACTTTGGGAGGCCAAGGCGGGCAGATCATGAGGACAGCAGTTCGAGACAAGCCTGGTCAACAGGGTGAAACCCTTGTCTCTACTAAAAATACAAAAAATTGGCTGGGCATGGTGGTGGACGCCTGTAATCCTAGCTACTTCAGAGGCTGAGGCAGAGAACTGTGTGAACCTGGAAGGTGGAGGTTGCAGTGAGCTGAGATTGCACCACTGCACTCCAGCCTGGGTGAGAAAGTGAGACTCTTGGAAAAAAAGAAAAAAGAAAAAAAAAAAAGCCTTCAGCTGGAAACAGCTTCTCAAGTGAAATCAGTGCTGGTGTTTTCAAACCTTCCTGCATTTCCTCTTGCTGCCCTACTGTGTTTGACCCACTCACCGTCCCGGCAGGGTCTCAGGAGCCTGCATGCACCTGTATTCTGCAGAAAATGCTTGGCGCAGAGCCTCTGCCTCCCACATTTCCAGGGTCACCATTCATGTATCGTGTGATGAGAATCCACCTCTCCCCTGGCGGCTGGCCCAATGGCCCTGACCTCTGTTAGGCACGCTACCAGGATGGTCAGATGACACTCTGACCCGTGCCTGGAGCCGTCTCCCTTTGGACTGCTCTGACACCTTGCAGGCTGGCTCGAAGGAGAGAAAAGTCATCTTATTTTGTGAAAACCAAGGAGTGAGTTGGGAAGAGCTAGAGCCTCCATGCCCGAGCCTTTTCCACTGATGGTATCAGGGGCATTTGCAACAGCAAGAGCTGGGAACTTCATAGCACTCACTTCGTACACGGTGCACTTTAAACGGTGGCGGGTGGATGAGGAAAGTGGAGTACAGTCTGGTAACTTGCCCAAGCTCACGTGTCAGAAAAAGCAGAGCTAGGATTTCAATCCAGACAACCTGACTCCAGGGTCAGTCTTCTTAATACCTATACTCTGCTGCCAGGTATCTTACCTTAATTTCTGGGCCTTGCTTTCTGTATCTGTGATCTGGAGGAGATGGTACTATTGCTGTCACTGCCCCCGATCCTGATACTATTATCTAATAACTGAGTATGTACTAGTGCCCAGCAGTGCGCTAAGCTCTTCACATGCATTATCTTAGTTTGACCTGTCAACCATCTTATGAAGTATGTGTGCACTTATTGTCGTGGTTTACAGATGAGGAAGCTGAGGCTTGGGTTGCTCAGGAAACACAGCCAAGGCTATGCTGCAGCAAGTGCTGAGCTCAGGCTGGACCCAGGCCAACTGATTCCAAAACTCCAGCCTCCAATCTCCAGGGCTCCATTCCCTCCTGACACCAGTGGGGGCTGGGCATTCCAGAGTGTAGAGTCCCCACAGATCACAGCAGATAGAGGAGTTTGAGGGAGCCCCTTGGATCTTTCTCCTTCCTCCCACAGGCCCCTCTTGGGTCCACATAAGCTCCCCAGGAACTCCGCCTGACTGTCCCACAGGTGGCTGCCCCTGCCTCTGCCAGTCCCAAGCCTGGCTGCAAAGCCTCAGTCTCACCAGCTTCCTTCCTTCAAGGACCAGCCCCAGGCCCTTCTCCATAGGAGGGCTTCACAGTTAAGAGTCCGGGTGTGGACAAAACATGTAATGTTCCCAGCACCACGGATGCCCTCGTCTGCGGTTGTCCTGACACCTCGCATGATGGGATATGACGCCGCTGCTCCCATTCCCGCGAGGCTGGAGACGCGGGTTCACCAAGCTCTTGGCTTCTGCCTCAGGCCTCATGGCCCTGACCCTCTGCCTATCTGATGATGCAGCTCAGGCAGAATCCCTCCTAGGATCTCCAGATAACAGAACCAGAGCCAAAAACTCAAAAACAAACAACGAAGCAGATTGGCCTGCACACCCTTTCCTTTTCAGGAAACCTGGATTTGTGGGGGCTCTCAGAAGTCAGGCCCTCTGTGGTCAGGAACAGACAGGTGGGCGAGAAACACTTGTCCCTCAACATTTTATTTTATTTTTATTTAAAAAAATTTTTAGGCTGGGTGTGGTGCTCACACTTGTAATCCCAACACTTTGGGAAGTGGATGCAGGCAGATCATGAGGTCAGGAGTTCGAGACCAGCGTGGCCAACATGGTGAAATCCTGTCTCTACTAAAAATACAAAAATTAGCTGGGTTGGTGGCAGGCACCTGTAATCCCAGCTACTTGGAAGACTGAGGCAGGAGAATTGCTTGAACCAGGGAGGCGGAGGTCGCAGCGAGCCGAGATCATGCCACTACACTCTAGCCTGGATGACAGAGCTACACTCCATCTCAAAAAAAAAAAAAAAGAATATATTTGTTTTTTGAGACAGAGTGTAGCTCTGTCGGCCAGCCTGGAGTGCAGTGGCATGATCTTGGCTTGGTGCAACCTCTGCCTACTGGGTTCAAGTGATTCTCTTACCTCAGCCTCCCAAGTAACTGGTATTACAGGCACCCACCACCATGCCTGGCTAATTTTTGTGGCTTTTTTTTTTTTTTTTGGGGTAGAGACAAGGTTTTATTATGTTGGCCAGGCTGGTCTCAAACTCTTGGCTTCAATGATCCAACTGCCTCAGCCTCCCAAAATGCTGGGATTACAGGTGTGAGCCACCACGCCCGGCCACTCATAATTTTAAAGAAGAAGAAAGTGAGCGTCTGAGAGGTGGTGACTTGCTCAGAGCCACACAGCTGATTGGAAAAGCACATGAGACTCATAATCCGCTCTGAGCAACTCCTCTGGGTAGAGAAGCCAGGGACGTGGGTGCCCAGGTGGCTTTATGCTAAGCAGAAGCTCTGGAGTTGGGGCCTGTCACTGTGATTTTTTAAGAGCACCCTAGGTGATTCTAGGTGTGGCCAAAAATCACTGAGCAGAGTTGGGGGTCAGTCACAGGAAGATCTGCCCTGGGGGCCCTCCTCAAATTTGAATATTTCCCCAGATCCTCTGGGAATCACATCAAAGGGAAGATTCTGATTCAGCAGATCTGAGGTGGGGCAGATACCCTGTTTCCACCCAGCTCCCAGGGATGCTGACACTGCTGGCCCAGGGACCACACTTTGAGTAGCAGGGCGTTCCAGAACTCAGGAGGCCTGGGCAATGACTGGGACTTGGAGGCGGGGAGGAGCGTTGGTATGTTTGAGAGAGCTTAGCCTTTGCTGGAAGGCAGCATTGGCTGATGGAGAGTGTTGCTGAGGATTGAGCTGAAGCTGGAGCGGGTGGCTTCACAGCGGGCGGGCTTCTCCCCAGCTGCCTGAGGGGTCTGGGCACAGGTCTCACTTGGGCCCTCCAGCCCTGGAGGTTCTTGGTTTCCTAACTTGCTAGTGATGGTCCAGTGTTAGTCTCTGACAGACTCAGGTTTCAACCCTAGGAGCTCAAGTTTGAGTGAGTTTGCAGACTGTTACAGTACCAGCGCCTGTGTGGGGCACCCGCGTGCCCCAGCGGGTTGCTGCACCAGGAAGCTGAGGTAGGAGGCTGCCAGTACCTTCTCCCCTGGTATTTCTCTCTCTGGCCCTCTCACCCTGCTGCCCCCTGGTTGCCCACCCTGACCCGGGCACACAGGCCAGCAGCTCTCCTGGAGTGGGTGGCTGGTGGGCAACAGCCTCTCCCACTTGCAGTTGGCTTGCCCGCTGAAGGGCTGTGTGCTCATTAACTGGTTCCTGTGCTGTTTGCTTGTTGCTATTTGGCTGCTAATAAGCCTAATGAGAACCACACAGGCGGGCAGTGGGGTGTTGGCATGGATGCCTTCATCCAGAGCTCCACAGAAGGGGGGCTCTTGGCTCCACACCCTGTCAGCTGGCTCTCCCCAACCCCCCTCGACTTCGCTTCTCCCTCCTCCCTCCCAACAGCTGCTGGGGTGGAGATGGCCAGTGTTTGGGAATGTTCATGATTCTGTCCTAGCAGTTTCATGAGGGGATGCCTTCCTGGGCTGGCGAGAGATGGGGGCTGACGGTCTCCCACTGCCAAGAGTAAAGTTGAGTGCCAGAACCACGTGGAGACTCAGTCTCTCCTGGATATCTGCGGGCCCAACCCGTTGCCTATGCGCAGAGAGTACTGGCTCCTGCTCACTTGCCCTCTCTTGCCTCTGGCAGAATCAATTCCAGGTCACTGTCGTACACCAGTCCCTTGCCAGGGCCTGCCTTCCTTCTGCCCTGCTCTGCAGGTGCCCACTGCTGGAAACCTAGCCCCTCCTTCCAGCTTGGTGGGGGCTAGAGCTGGGCCACCATCTCCTCCTCTAGTCTTGGTATCTGCCTTTCCTTCTGTGTCTTTGCCAGCTCTCTCTCTCTGGGGATTTATGTGTTTATGTATTTGTGGAGGCAGCTGACTGGGGCCTGCCGGGCCCTGCCCAGTGGAGGGGAAGAACTGGAGGGTGTGGAGTGACAGTGTCCTGTTTATAGTTGCAGCTTTTGGAAGACTGTCTATTCTTCCCAGACTGGCTCACGCCCAACCCCAACCCAACTGGGGAAGGGGATTTGAATACTCCTTAGATTTCTCATTTTATCTCAGCCTGGATGCACAGGGGCTGGGGCTGCT